GTTTTGGTTGTTTGTCTTGTTATTTCCTGGATGCCAAGAAAATTAAAGAAATTGCTTCCTCAACTCACAGGCCTGCCTGATGTAGCTAGCATAGTGACTGACTGTGAGAATCTGCTCCCGGATAAGAAAACATTTTTATTTTAAATACTTTGGAAAGTTCAATCATAGCAGTATAAGTTAGTGCCCAGGGGAGGCTATGGTCCCAGACCGCTGGCCCACATAGGCTCCAGGGTCCTGTGAGCTCCTGGACCATGGGGAAAATAGGCTGGAAAGACCCAGGCTCCTTTCTGCTTAGTGAAGCCAGACAGGTCTCCTGCCTGGAGGACTGAGCTGGCATTTGAGGTAGGGTGGCCTCAGCTTGGCCCCAGAGCATGAGGGTACAGGGTTCTGTGGATGCTGGAAAGCAGGCAACTGCTCCTCTTCCTTTTTGGTCCTTCGTAAGGAGGTCTTTAGGCCTGTGCTCCAAAGCCTGAAGGGTTCTGCTTCTGCCAGCGCCATAGATCTTCACCTGTGCAGACATGGGTGGTCAGAGCTTGCCCGAGGAGAGCCCACAGCAGAATTGCCCTTATAGCTAGTTCGTCCCCCCTCCAGGTTAGGCAGACACTCACACATCCTGTCCAGCCCCAAGGCTGCTGTCCAGCCCAGCTCCTCATGGGCCAGGCTGGGGTTGGCATAACAGGCTGCCACGTCACCTTCCCGCCGTGCCACCACCTTGTATGGGATCTGTAAAGGAGGTAGTGGCCACTTAGCTGAACAGGCCCTGGGCCTCAGGGACTGTCGGCAAGAGCTGTGTCACAGGCTCTTAGAAGTTCAAGGTGACTGGAGGAGACGGCTGTGCAGGGGTGCCTACTGCACGGTTAGGGCTACCTTCTTCCCTGAAGCCTTCTCCATTGCTTGGACCATCTGCAGGACAGAGTAGCCTGTGCCTGTGCCCAGGTTGTAGATCTGCCCAAGAGAACGGGATGTTGTATGGGTGTCTCATCCACCCCACAGGCCACATTTGCCCTGGATTCCAACCCTTTCCCTCCCTGGCTTCCTACCCGGCAACCACATTGCTCCTTCAGCTTCTTCAAGGCTGCGATGTGGCCCTTCGCCAGATCCACCACATGAATGTAATCCCTTACACCTGGGGAGGAAGTGGTTAGACGGGAAGTTTGTCCCCCTTCAGCCTTCCTCCTTTCTCTGACTCTTAGACTCACCTGTGCCATCCTCTGTATCATAGTCACCACCAAAGACATTCAGGGCCTCTCGTCGCCCAATTGCCACCTAGGGCAGAGGTCAGGTCAGCTTCCTCAAGGGCCCTGGTACCAGTGGTACTCCAGTGCACCCTAGGATCATCCCCCTACCTGGGAGACATAGGGCATGAGGTTGTTGGGGACGCCCTGGGGATCCTCGCCGATGCGGCCAGAGGCGTGGGCACCCGTGGGATTGAAGTAGCGTAGCAGCACTGCGTTCCAGGCCTGTGTGGTGCAGGTCAGACAATAGGGCCAGGGCACACACAGTCCCAACTCTCCACAGCCGTCTACCTCACCCATGTCTGTTCTGTGTTCTCTATGCATGAGCGAGGGATGGCACCTGCATACTAGCTGCTATGACCTTGGGCAGGGTATTGTCACTTCTAAGCCTTTGTCTCCTTGTGGTGAGAGTGCCCAGGGTCCTAATCCTGGCCTCAAAGTGAATGGGATGAAAGCTGGAGCAAGAGGTCCTCACCGAATCTGCCCGGCACAGGTCCCGGACCATCTCCTCGATGAAGAACTTGGACTTTCCATAGGGGTTGGTACAACCCCCGGTGGGGTGGGCCTCATCCAGAGGCAGGTACTGGGGATTCCCATACACGGTGGCTGAGCTGCTGAACACGAGATTCTTCACCCCGTGGGCCCTCATGATCTGGCCGTGGAGGGGAGGGTCAGTGGCCTGTGCCTCACCAATTAGTCCCACTTGTTACTCCACCCTAGGAGGGTGGGGCTGAGGCGACGGGCACGCTCAGTTACAGAGAGGGAAACAGGCTGGGAGGTAAAGAAAGGCATGTGTCCGAGATAATATAGCTTGGGTTGCGTCTGGTGCTCCCACACAGGCCCCTGCTGTGGCCGGCATGCCAGACTGCCTGGGTCCCAAGCTGAGGTCTGTGTCCCCTTCCTCTTACCTCCAGAAGCTGGATGGTCCCTGTTAGGTTAACTCTATAATAATCCAGAGGCTTCTGCACCGACTCGCCCACAGCCTTGAGCCCAGCAAAGTGGATGACAGCCTTAAAGCTGTGCTGCATGGGTAAAGCAAGGGTCAGAGGCTCTGCAGCCTCGGAACTTGGCAACGCTCCTCCTACCTGCCAAGCAGCACCCAGCTTTTTTGTTGGTTTGTTTGAGACAGAGTCTCTCTGTGTAGCCCTGACTGTCCTGGAACTCACTCTGTAGACCAGACTGGCCCCAAATTCAGAAATGATCTGCCTCCCTGCCTCCCTGGTGCTGGGTTTAAAGGTGTGTGCGACCACATCCAGCTAGCACCCACCTTCTTAAAGAGGTGCTGTAGCGCTGCCTGGTCCAAGATGTCCATCTCCTCAAACTCCACAGAGCGGCCTGTCAGTTCCTGGACCCGCCGCAGGCTCTCAGGCATGGAATCCCCTCCTGGTGGAGCAGGTAGAGAGGCTATGAGCATTAGAAGGAAGATGGTGTCCTGGATATAGCCCCGCCAGAACCCACTCACTGCTTCCCATCCAGCTAACTCACCACGAATGGCATTATGGAAGTTGTCGATGACCACAGGGGCGTAGCCTGCCTCCAGCAGCTCCAGTACCGTGTGGCTGCCAATGTAGCCAGCTCCGCCTGTGACCAGCACCTTCTCGGCCATGGCTCCTGGTTAGAGGACACAGAGTTTCAGAGGGTGGCTGAGGGTGTCTGCTCAGGGCCTCCCTCAGGGATGCTGGTCTCCTCAATGTCATCTTGGAGGATGCAGTTGTGGGTCCTAGTCTAAGGAGGGCTCCTGAGTCAGCCCTGGGTCTGACTGGATAACTATCACTTTCTGGCTATAGGGGCTGAAATGCCCCTCCCCTCTCTAGGCCAATAGCTTCTATCTCTACGACTAATTACTGTACACATACCATGGAGGGCCCAGTGAGCTGATTTAAAAAAGGTCTGCCACCTGTCTGTGTAGGAGCCACACCGTATTGTCTAGTTCTCGTTGATATGGGGTAGGAAGAGGGGACTTTGGAGGGCCCACCCTTCCCACCTCCCTGTCTGGAGAATGGGCAGTCCTGGGCAGAAGAGAACATGGCTTCAGGATTGGGGTACTAGAATTTGAAAAAGGGGGTTGTTCCTATAAACTCAGGCCTTCTTCCGGGAGCAAAAGGTTCCTGGGTTTGGTGCACTGACACCTAGTTTTCCAACAACCCTTCCACTTGAAGGTCAGTTGGGAGGAAACAGAAAATACAGCTAATGACTTCAAGGGTGGGGTTCCGAGCCAGGGAGGCTGAGCCTAGCTCTGAGGGTGCAGTACCAACAGCCCTGGAGTGGACAGGGCTTCTCCACCCTGGGGCAGCCAATAGCTCAGCCTTGGCCCAGCAGGGTCACTCCCCAGCTTGAGGCAACAGATCCCGCCCAACTTGGGGCAGCACCGAGCGGGGTGGGTCGGTGTCGACGTGGATTTGGCCAGCTCTCCACTGCCAGGTGTGCATCCCCGCCCTAAGCAAACTGCTGGGCGGACAGAAAGGAAATCCACACACTGAGGCCTTTCATTCCCGGGACCTGGCCTGTTGCCCGTCTTTCTCCAGGCTGCCTCAAGTCGCTGCTGGGGTCATTCTGCTGCAGTCCCCTGGACTGGGCGCCCACTGCAAACCACGACTCACTACCCCGCACTTGGGCTCTCCCCGCCCCCAGTTCTCCCCTCATCTGGACGAGGCGGGCGGGTGTCTCCACTAGCACTTGGTACTAGGGTCAGAGCCCGAAGGCAGCCTGCCTGGGGTCACCCGGGATCACCCAGCAGGGAGACCTTGGCTGGGTGGGAGCCCCTAGCCTTCTCCCCGCTGCTCCCGCCCTGCGCAAGGACGCGGTGAAGTGGTCACCCACGGGTGAACCGAGGCCGCTCCGCTCCAGACCTGGGGGTGACCTTGGTCAGTTGTCCCCTCCTCAGTTTTCCCAGTCTGCACAATGGAAGGGAGAGGACGCTGGGCACCAAGAGCCCGGACGCGGCCCGGCTTAGCGCTGGACCTTGGTCCCGGGCTGGGAGCGCGAGCGGGGAGCCCGGCCCGGAATGAATGGATTCGGTGCCCCCACCAGGGCCGCGGGAAACGCGAGCAGAAGGGGCGGGCCTGGCCCTGTCTCGAACACGGAACGACCCTCTTGGAACTCCCTCGCCTCCCGCCGACCACAGGCCCTTCATTCTGCTACCCAAACCTGCCGAGGATCCCGCGCTGGCTCCCGGTGCCGCCTCCCGCGACCAGCGCGGCGGCCCCTTTAAGAACTGACAGCCCAGACTGGCCACGCCCCCTTTCCACCCTCCAGGAAATGTGGCTACAGGGTTACCTGCTCTACGGCGGCCCTGGAGGGACAAAAGGTCTGCACAGGCTTTAGGCGCCTGCGCAGTAGGTTTCCGTCAAGGGCGGAAGTGAGAGGCGGGGACGCCATCCGGTAAGTCGCGAGCTGCGGAGGGGAACGGGGCTGGGAGGGTGGCCTTCCTAGTCTCCACCCCTGGCAGCTGCACCCCGAGTGACCGCGCCCCGCTGCACTCCGAGCCGCCGGCTTCCTAGTGTTCCCGCATCCGTGAGACCCTTCGGGCTGCTCTAGCTGGGGCCGTGGCTGGCCGGGCTCCGGCGACCTGGGTCCACGTCCACTCTGGGAGAAAGCCCTGGAGCGGGAAGGAACCTTTAAATCCTCGGTAGCAATGATGGGCCGTGCCCATCCCTGAGCCTCCCTCCCGCAGGAGTGTGTCCGCAGCTGCCAGCCATGCCGCAGTCCCAGACACGTTTAAAGTGTGTGTGTGGGGGGGAGATGATGGCTCAGAGCGCTTGCTGCCCCTGCGGAGGGTCCGAGTCCTTTCCCAGCACCCACACCCTGCCTGTTATTCATTCCAAGGAGTGTTGTGCCGCTTCTGGGCTCCATGGCCGCCTGCACATACCTGACGGTCTCTCACAAGTACATAAATAAACCTTTCCTGGTGGCGCACGCCTTCAGTCCCAGCACTTGGGAGGCAGAGGCAGGCGGATTTCTGTGAGTTCGAGGACAGCGTGGTCTACACAGTGGGTTCCAGGACAGCCATGGATGATGAATAGTGAGAACCTGTCCCAAAAAAACCTAAAGAGGCGCAGCTGGAACATAGCGAATCTGTCAGTGACACTTGTTACTCTTCACAAACACCTGTAAGTGCAGTTTTTTGTTTTTGTTTTTTTTAAGCGAGGAGGAAAAGTTTCAAGAAAGCTCAGCAGTTAAGAGCTGGTGCAGGTGCTTTTGCTGAGGACCAAAGTTGTTTTCTCAGCAGCTAGCCTTCATGGCTCACAACTGTCTGGACCGACAACTCCAGGTGATTCTCCAACCTCTTCTGGACTCCTCATACGCGCGTGCGTGCGTGCGTGCGTGCGTGCGTGCGTGCGTGCGTGTACTTAATAAATCCCAGTTCAGGGGTTAAGAGTACTGACTGTTCTTCCATAGAGCCAGGTTTCAATTCTCAGCACCACATAGCAGCTCACAGCTGTCTGTAACTCCATTTCCAGGGACCCAACACCCTCATACAGACATGCATGCAGGCAAAACACCAATGAACATAAAACTAAAAGTAATATTACTTAAAATGCCTGGCAGTACTGGTGCTTTTCTTTAATCCCAGCATTCAAGAGGCAGAGGCAGATGGATCTCTGTGAGTTCAAGTCAGCCTGGTCTACAGGGTGAGTTCTAGGACAGCCAGGGCTACACAGAGAGACCCTGTCTCAAGAAACAATAACAGAATCTTAAAATAATTTTTTAAAAGAGGCAAGAAGTAGGGCATGTTGGCTCCTGCCTGCAATCCCAGCACTTTGGAGGCAGAGGCAGAGTTGTTGAGTTCCAGGCCAGCTTAGACCACATATTAAAACCACTGTAGGGCTTATGAAGATTGCAAGTCCATGAAGATTTGAGTTTGATACCCAGAAGCCATATATATGAAAACAAATTTTTTTTTTTTTTTAAAATTCAAGCTGGGGCTGGAGATGGCTCAGAGGTTAAGAGCACTGCTGCTCTTCCAGAGGTCCTGAGTTCAAATCCCAGCAACCACATGCTGACAACCATCTGTATTGAGAGCTGGTGTCCTCTTCTGGTGTGCAGGCACACATGCAGACAGATCATTGTGTATTTATAATAAATCTTCAAAAAATAAAAAATAAAACCAGGCGTTGGCGGCACACGCCTTTAGTCACAGCACTTGGGAGGCAGAGGCAGGCAGATCTCTGTGAGTTTGAGGCCAGCCTGGTCTACAGAGTGAGTGCCAGGATACGCTCCAAAGTTACACAGAGAAACCCTGTCTTGAAAAACCAAATAAATAATAAAAAGTCAAGCTGAAAATGAACTGTGTTTGTCATCCTAGCAGTGGGGAAGCAGGGACAGACAGATTCCTAGGTGCTCACTGGTAGTTAGCTAGCCTACCTTGCTAGATCCAGGCCAATAAGACACCTGTGTCCCTTCTTCCTTGGTGCTACCTGTGAGGTGGCTGCCCTCTGCCCTCTGGTGAAGCCCCAGATAGTCAAAAAGAGGACCAAGAAGTTCATCCGGCACCAATCAGACCGATATGTTGAAATTAAGTGAAACTGGCGAAACCCAGAGGTATTGACAACAGGGTTCAGAGAAGATTCTCAAGGGCCAGATCTTGATGCCAAACATTGGGAGCAACAAGAAAAGCAGGCACATGCTGCCTAGTGGCTTCCGGGAGTTTCTGGTTCACAATGTCAAGGAGCTGGCAGTGCTGCTGATGTGCAACAAATCTTACTGAGCTGGGATTGCTCACAGCGTTTCCTCCAAGAACCGAAACGCCATCGTAGAAAGAGCACACTGGCCATCAGAATCACCAGGCCCAATGCCAGGCTTCCAGGTGAGGAAAATGAGTAGGTGGCTGGGGTGCATGTTTTATTTGTGTTTAAATAAAACCACAAAAGCTGAAAAAAGAAGAGAGAGAGAGCAGAGAGAACTGTGTCACTGCTCTGCGAACAGGCACAGCCTCAAGCAACTCCTTGGGTGTCCTGGCCAGCCACCATGCTTTCCAACCACTGGACTGGGGACTCTGTGTGGAGATGGAAGAGATCCAGACAGGAACCAGTCAAAGCCCTCATTCTCCCACAGAATGACCTTATTCTCTCACTCATAAACAAACACACATTTGCATGATTGGATATTAGAAAATTAAACCTTTAATTACATAAGCTGTTTTCAAAAATCACGTACAGAGTGAAGATTTCCCAAAGATTCTGGGGTTGGCAGATGGCCACCATCGCAGATCAAACCCCACCATTTCAGCAAATGCTCTGCTGGTTTGGGGAAAAACTGTTCTCTGTTCCCTGAGCACAGGACCCACAGGCACAGCAGGGTGGACATCAGCTCTGTTAGTCAGCAGATTCACCCAGGAGATCCAGGGCCATCCCAAGCCAGTGCTCAGGCACTCAGCTCTGCAGAGCTGGTCCACTGTGAAGGGACACTTCCAGGCTCCAAGGCTAATCAGTCAGCCCCGGCCCATTCTGTCTAGAAGGACCTTCGTGACACCTGTTCATTTGTCCCCATTCCATTTCTCCCATCAAGGAATCATTTGTGCATGTCACCTCCCACAGTCCCAGGTCTCAGGCAAACAAGGGCTCAGAGTTTGCAGGTGGCCTGTGCCACTTTGGAGCTGGTTTTTCTGTTCAGGGCTTGACAGATGAAGTCCCCGGCTTCGAGGAGCTTCTGGAGGTTCACACCCTTGAAGAAATAAGTTAGAGGATGAAGGAAATCTGGGCATGCCCTCAACATCCAGGGAAAGAAACTAGACAGCTGTGGCATGGGAAAAGGGAAGGAAACAGCACACAGGTCCCTGTTGCAACCACTGTCTGGGAGGTTGTGTCTGGCTGGCACCACGGTTTTTTCTTCAGAGTGGCTTGTGGGACCACCACCAGAAGAGGGACCTTATCTCCATGTTCAGGGTCTAGCACAAGGCCTGGACCATGGGAGATATAATCTTCATCTATTTGCTTTGTAATATTCATCTGTTGTAGTTTCCTGTGCCAGGAGTGGCACCCAAAGCATGGTACAAGGGTTCTACTACGGAAGGGTTCCTCAGCCCTACACAACTGTAAGAGCAATTCCTATCTGCTGCTGAGTACCGAGTGCTAAGCACTCTATGTGGTTTCTTCTGGTGCTAGAGACTGGACCCAGGACTTCACCACTGACCTATACCTCTGGCCATATATTTTCTTGTGTCCTGTAACAACCTATGAGCGCTACTTTTACTACCTTTACTTGAGTTTAGAGATGAAATAATCTGAGGTTGCACAGCCTGTGAGGGACAGACCTGGGTTTTAATCTGTCAGATCTCAAAGCAGAGACACTGTGTGACTTCTACGCCACCACTGAGGTCCCTACAGAACCTGGTGGAGCGCTGTGCAGCTCCTTTCACTGTCCTCAGGGGAAGTGACTCATTGTAGGTCATGAAGCTGGCCCTCTTAAGGCTCTTTCCCATTTACTTCCTGGGGGCCTCCTAGACCTCAACTATGGGCATCACTCTGAGACCTTGGTCTCCTGCACTCATGATCATGATCAACCAGACCAAAGTCTCTTCTGCCAGAGACCTCTCTCCTCATTCCCTTTTTGGTTGGGTCCTTCTCATCCTTGGAATCTTAGTCTACTCCTTCTAGGCCACCAACGTCTATGGTTATTCATATACACACCCAGGCTGCTCTGCCAGGGCCTCTAACCACACAAGGTCCCGTTCCAGCCACTTTCCACTCTCCTAATTGTTTAGTCTCTCCTCTGCTGTTCCAGAAATACAAAGATCCCACAATCCCTGCCACCCTTCTCCTAAAGGCCACCAGCCCTAAGCATGCCCATCACCCCTATCCTCTGGGTCTAGGCCAGCCCTGGTTAGTACACCTGGGATGTCACCACCAGGGGGCAGGCGGGCTTACCGTTTGAATCCCTAAGCCAGTCAACATGTAGACCAGGTCCTCAGTAGCCAAGTTCCCCGAGGCCCCCTTTGCATAGGGACAGCCTCCAAGTCCCGCCACAGAGGAGTCCACGACGCTCACTCCCATCTGGAAACATAAGAATGGTGAAATGTGGTTGCTGCTGGAACTGGGAGCCCATGAAGCTGCTCCTCACAAACTTCCAGCCTGGTGTCAGGAATTCTGCTAGAGCCACTCTCCTGCCTATGACCCTGTCAGGGGCAATCCACTGAGGGACAGGGCTTCCCTCCCGGGATCAGTGAGTCTCCTCTTCTAGAGGACCTTCCCCCATTCCTTCACAGTTGGCTCCTGACTCCATTTCCCCTTTGGGGCTCTCCTCGGACCAGTGAGAATGGTAGAGATAGCAGACTTAGTTCTTGGGCAGTGTCTGATTTTGAACAGAACCAAAGAAATGGGAGGCTGAAGAGCTCTCAAAAGGATTTACAATGGGATAGTGAGATGGTTCGCTCAGAGGGTGGCGCTTGCCACCAAATCAGACAACCTGAACTTGATTCCAGGCAGAAGAAAAGAACCCCTTGGTCCTCTGACCTCCACAGGCCCAAACATCCTATCAGGTCTGCAGGATAACACCTGCTATGGCCCTGATGCCAGCATGAAAACGAACACCAGAGGGCGCCATTGCAACAGGTTTCACCTGCTTAGTCTCTTGGTCACACTGCTATTAGCAATGTCTCCTCACGTTCCCTGAACAAGGCAAGCACCCGCTTCAGGCCTCTACACCTGCACAGAATCCCCTCTCGTCCACCAAGTCTCAGTTATCTTATGTGGGAAGCTGTTTCCTTAACCTACGTCTGTGGCCTCATTTACATTTGCTTCAATAGTTTTTTTGTGTTTGGGGTTTTTTTTTTTTTTTTTTTTTTTTGGTTTT